TCATAAAATTTTAATAAAATCTCTCTGCTTACCCACTGTCTCCTTCCATTCAATACAGTGTACCTTGCCTCTTGCAATACGTACATGCAATCCAGGCCCATGGTGCACATATCTAAGTAAAAAGAAGCTTCCAGACACCATTCAAGATAGGGAACTTCACTTACATTTTGTGAACAATAATGATTGCATAAAAGCAAATTTACATAACACAGGAAATAACTCTACATGACATGCTAGTCCAACTTTGACCATAACACTATTTTACGTTTCCTCTATTAAGTTGTGGAATACAAAATTTAAGATGCAAGTATACCAGCTACAGTAATATAATATTTGATTCCAAAATTTTAGAAATCCAGGGTATTTATTGTGAAGACAATGTGAACAGTGGAGAAAATGTAGTTTTATTGCTAGAACAGAGGTACAGTACTGTAGAAAATTTCAAAAAGAAACTAGACCAATGCCTTCACCATCAGCCAAGTTATGATGGTTATGTGGGCCTATATGCTGTAGCTAGCACTAGCAAAACTGATCAGGAAAGTCTATCCACAAGCCAGGTAACAATAGCCTGGCTGATCACAGTCACCAAGTACCGTTGACATATTCAGTTTTTTTTTTAGGCCTTTGGGATTTCACCTGAATCTAAGCTTCTTCCCCAAAGAACACCGAGTACTCTTATTAATGGTACCTTACCTTACCTTTACCTTTGATATACCTTAGAAGAGCTTCGAGAGTTTCACTACTCTTGTCTGGTGCTTGCCTGGTCAACCAGGCTGTTGCTGCTGGAGGCCCGCTGCCCCACATATCCATAACTTCACATTTCTTAATAAATAATACATTCTAGGAATCAGATTCATTTGCTGAGTGAATATGTATATTTTTTATTTCCCTTTCAAATCTGAAGGATTTGTGTTGTCACAAAATATAGTTTGTATGGTAGTGTGAATTTATAAAAAAAAAATATCTAGATCAACTCAAATTCTTAACTTTGTAGCCACAGAGTATCATATCAGTGTACTACAATATCTGCACATATGAACAGCAGCTACATACCAGTAATCCTGTCAAGAGGCAATGAAGCATGCATCAAGCATTTTCTACACATGTACTGTGAACAGCCCTAAGAATACTGTTCAAGCAGAATCTCTATCATGCTCTGTACTAATGAATTATTTACTCATTCACAGTCCACCCTCCCCCTCTTCCCACACTCACAATATCTATGCAGAACATTTGATATAATTACTTACTTGGTATGATATAACATGTAATGAAAGTAGTTTATTAGACTACGTATTGTTGGATAAAAGGTTGATGGGTAGGCTCCAGGATGTACACGTTTATAGAGGGGTAACTGATATATCGGATTATTATTTAGTTGTAGCTACAGTTAGAGTAAGAGTTTGATGGGACAAAAGGAATATGACAATAACAAGTAAGAGGAAGGTGAAAGTGTATAAACTAAGGGAGGAGGAAGTTCGGGTGAGATATAAGCAACTATTAGCAGAAAGGTGGGCTAGTGCAAGTATGAGTAGTAGGGGGGTTGAAGAGGGTTGGAATAGTTTTAAAAATGCAGTATTAGAATGTGGGGCAGAAGTTTGTACTATAGGAGGGTGAGTGCAGGAGGTAAGAGAAGTGACTGGTAGAATGATGAAGTAAAGGGTGTGATAAAAGAGAAAAAGGTAGCTTATGAGAGGTTTTTACAAAGCAGAAGTGTTATACGAAGAGCAGAGTATATGGAGAGTAAAAGAAAGGTGAAGAGAGTGGTGAGAGAGTGCAAAAGGAGAGCAGATGATAGTGGGAGAGGCACTGTCAAGAAATTTTAATGAATAAGAAAAAAATTTGGAGTGAGTTAAACAAGTTAAGCCTAGGGAACGAATGGATGTATCAGTTAAAAACAGAGTAGGGGAGTTAGTAGATGGGGAGAGGGAGGTATTGGGTAGATGGCGAGAATATTTCTAGGAACTTTTAAATGACAACGAAGAAAGGGAGGCGGTAATTTCATGCACTGGCCAGGGAGGTATACCATCTTTTAGGAGTGAAGAAAAGCAGGATGTGAGTGTGGGGGAGGTGCATGAGGCATTATGAAGAATGAAAGGGGGTAAAGCAGCTGGAACTGACGGGTTCATGACAGAAATGTTAAAAGCAGGGGGAGATATAGTGTTGGAGTGGTTGGTATTTTTGTTCAATAAATGTATGAAAGAGTGGAAGGTACCTAGGGATTGGCAGAGAGCATGTATAGTCCCTTTATATAAAGGGAAGGGGGACAAAAGAGATTGTAAAAATTATAGAGGAATAAGTTTACTGAGTATACCGGGAAAAGTGTACGGTAGGGTTATTATTGAAAGAATTAGAGGTAAGAAAGAATGTAGGATTATGGATGAGCAAGGTTTTAGAGTGGGTAGGGGATGTGTAGATCAAGTGTTTACCTTGAAGCATATATGTGAACAGTATTTAGATAAAGGCAGGGAAATTTTTATTGCATTTATGGATTTAGAAAAGGCATATGATAGAGTGGATAGGGGAGCAATGTGGCAGATGTTGCAAGTATATGGAAGAGGTGGTAAGTTATTAAATGCTGTAGAGAGTTTTTATGAGGATAGGGAGTCTCAGGTTAGGGTGTGTACAAGAGAGGGAGACTACTTCCCGGTAAAAGTAGGTCTTAGACAGGGATGTGTAATGTCACCATGGTTGTTTAATATATTTATAGATGGGGTTGTAAAAGAAGTAAATGCTAGGGTGTTCGGGAGAGGGGTGGGATTAAATTATGGGGAATCAAATACAAAAAGGGAATTGACACAGATACTTTTTGCTGATGATACTGTGCTTATGGGAGATTCTAAAGAAAAATTGCAACGGTTAGTAGACAAGTTTGGGAGTGTGTGTAAAGGTAGAAAGTTAAAAGTGAACATAGAAAAGAGTAAGGTGATGAGGATATCAAATGATTTAGATAAAGAAAAATTGGATATCAAATTGGGAAGGAGGAGTATGGAAGAAGTGAATGTTTTCAGATACACCTACCATCTGACTTACGACCTGCTCGACTTACGACCGTGTTTTTTATGCCAAATTTCTGGGAAATAAACAACTATTTGTGTTGTACACAGTGTTTATCCTAAACCTTACAGTATAAAATACAGTACTAACAGCATAAAAAGTAAAGTAAAACATGAAATATCAAAATAAAACAAAAATAAAGTCATTACAAAAATGTTTTGTTGATATTCAGTAGTAAAGTTCGATTTACGACTGGTTTCTCGGAACCGAACTCGATCGTAAGTCGGATGGTAGGTGTATTTGGGAGTTGACGTGTCAGCGGATGGATTTATGAAGGACGAGGTTAATCATAGAATTGATGACGGAAAAAAGGTGAGTGGTGCATTGAGGTACATGTGGAGACAAAAAATGTTATCTATAGAGGCAAAGAAGGGAATGTAAGAAAGTATAGTAGTACCAATACTCTTATATGGGTGTGAAGGTAGTAGACATGTCCTGTCTAAGGGCAATGTGTGGTGTGAAAATTATGCAGAAAATTCAGTGTGGAAATTAGAAGGTGTGGAGTTAATAAAAGTATTAGTCAGAGGGTGGAAAAGAGGTTGTTGAGGTGGTTTGGTCATTTAGAGAGAATGGATCAAAGTAGAATGACATGGAGAGTGCATAAATCTGTTGGGGAAGGAAGGCGGGGTAGGGGTCGTCCTCAAAAAGGTTGGAGGGAGGGGCTAAAGGAGGTTTTGTGGGCGAAGGGCTTGGACTTCCAGCAAGCGTGCATGAGCATGTTAGAAAGGAGTGAATGGAGACGAATGGTATTTGGGAAATGACGAGCTGTTGGAGTGTGAGCAGGGTAATATTTAGTGAAGGGATTCAGGGAAACCGGTTATTTTTATATAGCCAGACTCGAGTCCAGGAAATGGGAAGTACAATGCCTGCACTTTAAAGGAGGGGTTTGGGATATTGGCAGTTTGGAGGGATATGTTGTGTATCTTTATACGTACATGCTTCTAAACTGTTATATTCTGAGCGCCTCTGCAAAAACAATGATTATGTGTGAGTGAGGTGAAAGTGTTGAATGATGATGTAAGTATTTTCTTTTTGGGGATTTTCTTTTTTTTGGGGTCACCCTGCCTCGGTGGGAGACAGCCGACTTGTTGGGGAAAAAAAAAAAAAAAACTTACTTGGAATACACATTTGTTTTAACAGGGGCAAAGCTCATGGGATTCCATCTTCAGCTCTTTATGCTTCTCTTGTTTAATCATCCCATTATTTTAAACAGCAGGAAACCCTCATTTAATGTTGTTTAAACAACTGTCATACTGGCCACTATCAAGGTTTTAAATAGCATATGCCACAATAAAACTTGTGGACAAAGGATCATGCCTTAAGTCATTGTTAAGGCTTGACCAAAACTGATTCAGCACAGTTTTTATTCATGAATTCAACACAATGTGCAACACTTGGGTGTGTGTTTTGTTGACATTGTAGTATACAATTATTGTAAAGAGTACTGTTTTATTTTATCATTTTGTCCTATGTAAAGTGAATGAACTATAGCAGTTCTCCTCAATGCCTCAATGTATGATGACTTCAGCACTATGTTTGCTTTAACATCCTGACAACTTTGACATCGCATGAAAACTAATCCAAAGCTACATAATTTTTTCAAGCGGAATTGACACTAATTTTACAAAATAATCTGATATATTCTTAGCCTATATTTCTATAGTCACTACAGTATAAACATAAAGCATACTTGCAATATCTAGGCACATGTATAGCCCTTTTCTTTATACACGGAGAAGCGAGAGGAGATTAACACTAATTTTATTTTCCACAATACAAGATGTAATTGAGAAGGGTTTGCTTATGGATTTTGAAGCCTAGAGTATCCCATTGAGTTTGCACAATGCATATACACATACATGCATATACACATACATATTTGAAGCAAAACTCAATACGTGATGCTAGGGTGTGTGCCCATCATTCCAAGCAATCAAACATACCTGCAATTACTTTTGAGACTGAATTCCACCATCTTCCTTTTTCCCTTCCATAATAAAGTTATCTGTGGGGATAGTGAATGAGATAAAAGCCTGGGAGACAAGTTTACAATAATAATATACTCAGATTTCCTGCAACAAAGAAAGTTGGATCCTACTGCAGGAAGTCAGACCCTACAAGTGACCACATACAGAAAACCCATTCAACAGACTAATGGGGAGAAGCAGGAAATGGCAATTGTGGTGGAGACTAGATTTTTATGATCACAGCAAAATAGTTATTGATATTTCTGGAGCCAACAGACTTTGTTTCCAAATCAACTGATCCAACAGATTTTGTCCAGTATTTACAGAATCCATTAAATCAAGGGATTACTGCACATCTTTATCTGTTGTAATTGTCTCCAAACAATGTAGATTATTGGATCAAATACTACTCATATTTGTTTTAAGAATTATTTCTTGTACAGTATTAGATACTAATATTTCAATCAGCAGCTTCTTGCCATTGAGCAATAAATTCATAAAAGTGAAATTTTTGCACATTAACAATGGTCATAAGCAGCGAAGAGTGAAGCGAGCCCATCATGTGTCAAAATTCAAAGTCATTGATTGCATTAACCAAACTATACAGTACAGGTGTCCCTCAACATTCGCGAGGGTTAGGGGATCAAGAGCCTCGCGAATGTTGAAAAACCGTGAATGTTTGGTGCCCCAATATATTGTAGGGAAATATAATACAATACTGCTTAACTTGTTGAACCATGAACAATCATAAAATACATGAAAACGTCGTAAGTTGTACTAAATATATACATGTTATGCTTTAATAACATGTATGTTATTAAATACCACAGACTCCACCACTTCCTCAACCAATGTGAGTCCCTACTACCCTCCCTCCGACCCCCGCAACTGGCAGCCAGCCCTCCCACCACTCAGTGTGGTGAGTGTTTTGTTTGTTCATTATTCGCTATTAACCCTTTGAGGGTTTTCGTCGTACTAGTACGTCTTACGCGTAGGGGTTTTTGACGTACTAGTACGCATAAATTCTAGCGGCCTCAAATCTAGTGGGAGAAAGCTGGTAGGGCTTCATATGAAAGAATGGGTCTATGTGGTCAGTGTGCACAGTCTAAAAAAAATCCTGCAGCACACAGTGCATAATGAGAAAAAAAAAAACTTTGACCATTTTTTTGGAATAAATCAGCGACTTTGCAGTGTATTTTCGTATGGTATTTATTGTTGTATTCTAGTTTTCTTGGTCTCATTTTATAGAATGGAAGACATATTACAGAAATTGAGATGATTTTGGCTGGTTTTACAATGAAAGGTGCCTTGAAATTGAGCTCAAAGTAGCAGAAATGTTCGATTTTTACCAAACTTCAAAAGTAAACAAATCGTGCCAAGCGTGCAATACACGTCAACTGGTGAGTCTAATATTCTTTCACAAGTGCACCAATAATATTTATACCATTTTTTTACACTAATGCAGTAGTCTGCATAACAGTAAATCTTATATTTTTTGTGAGAATAAAAATTCAAAATGGAAAGCAAAAGAATATAAGAGGGGCCTTGAGACGTGACTAATGACTAGAGGAAATGTCATTTTAGTGCCAGGAATGTCTTTCTTGTTTATTCTGGACCTTATTCGGAAATTGGCATCTTTTGAAATTTGTGTGAAATTGGCAAAATTGCTAAATTCTGACCACTGTACTGGATAGTTGAATTTCATAAATGGGTGGTTTTTTCACCCATTCGATAGAAAAAATGGAGTTCTAGCGAAATATTCATGTTTTTTGTCGACTAGTACAGCGAAATTGGCCAAAAATGGGGCTCAAAGTGGGCAAAATCGCCGATGCGTAAACATTGCCGAGACCGCTAACTTTGCGAGAGCATAATTCCGTAAGTTTTCTATCAAATTTCAAACTTTTGGTGTCTTTATGATCGGGAAAAGATTCTCTATCTTTTCATAAGAGAAAATAATTTTTTTTTTTTTAAATTTGGCCGACCCTGAGAACGAGTTTCGGAGAGGGCCTGTCGACCCTCAAAGGGTTAAACTACAGTATAAATAATGTAAACACATTCATGACTGCATATTGGAATGGCTATTTGGACAGGTATTGGACGGTGACATCATGTGTTTACTCTTGAACACAGCAAAGAATCAAACATTTCTGCTACTGATAATAATAATAATAATAATAATAATAATAATAATAATAATAATAATAATAATAATAATAGATATAATTGAAGAAGGAAATTGTACAAAAATACGAGGGAGTGGTTGACACATCGTCAGTGTGGCTTTGTTTATGCTGGAGTGAACATTAGTCTCCCTGCTCTTCCAAACATTTCACAATAATTCAGCGGTTGAGGCAGTGGTAGAGGCAGTGGGTGAGGCAGTGGGTGAGGCAGTGGGTGAGGCAGTGGTATTTACTAACATGTACGTATGTTATAAATAATAATAGTACATGTTAAAATTAATAACATTTATAATAATAATAATAAATGTTATTCATAATGTACTATTATTATTTATAACATATATGTTAGTAAATATCACTGCCTCTACCATTGCCTCTACCGCTGCCTCTACCGCTGCCTCTACCGCTGCCTCTACCGCTGCCTCTACCGCTGCCTCTACCGCTGCCTCTACCGCTGCCTCTACCGCTGCCTCTACCGCTGCCTCTACCGCTGCCTCTACCGCTGCCTCTACCGCTGCCTCTACCACTGCCTCTACCACTGCCTCTATCGCTGCCTCTATCGCTGCCTCTATCGCTGCCTCTATCCTGCCTCTACCACTGCCTCTACCACTGCCTCTACCACTGCCTCTACCACTGCCTCTACCACTGCCTCTACCACTGCCTCTACCACTGCCTCTACCACTGCCTCTACCACTGCCTCTACCACTGCCCTACCACTGCCTCTACCACTGCCTCTACCACTGCCTCTAACCACTGCCTCTACCACTGCCTCTACCACTGCCTCTACCACTGCCTCTACACTGCCTCTACCACTGCCTCTAATCACTGCCTCTATCACTGCCTCTATCACTGCCTCAACCACTCCAGTCACACTCCCTCTACAACACCAAACAATGAATTATTGTGAAATGTTTGAAGAGCAGGGAGACTAATGTTCACTTCCAGCATAAAACAAAGCCACACTGACGATGTTCAACCACTCCCTTGTATTTTTGTACAATTTCCTTCTTCAATTATATCGTATTATTATATTATTATTATTATTATTACTATTGTTATTATTAGCAGTAGCAGAAATGTTTGATTCTTTGCTGTGTTCAAGAGTAAACACATGATGTCACTGTCCAATACCTGTCCAAATAGCCATTCCAATATGCAGTCATGAATGTGTTTACATTATTTATACTGTAGTTTAATAGCAAATAATGAACAAACAAAACACTCACCACACTGAGTGGTGGGAGGGCTGGCTGCCAGTTGCGGGGGTCGGAGGGAGGGTAGTAGGGACTCGCAGGTGGCGGGAAACTTGAATATGATTTGGCGGTTGGGAATTCGCGAATGTGTGAAGCCCGCGAAAGCTGAAAACTTGAATGTTGAGGGAGACCTGTACTTGTATAGTTCACAGGGAGGAGCAAAACCATAACTTACAGTAGCTTAGAGATCATATATATAGGCAATCAATTAGTTAAGACAGTCTTAAGTTTGCCCAAAATGATCTGCATACTGAAGGGCTTTTTGCATGCATACCTAAATTGAATCCATCTCTATACAAACATTGTATCATGCCAAAATAAATAATTCGAATGTGAAAACATTCTTGTCCCTTCGACAAGCTATGAACAAACTTCCTCCCCCACAACTGGAAACAATACAGCACTACTGGCTTGTACTGAATCTTTAAGAGGCTCAATACAATATTCACCGTTGAGAAAATTATATATAGTGGTACCCTGAGGTTCGTACAGCTCCCAACTCGAACAATTATGCAAGTGTATTATTGCAAGTGATTTTGTAAGTGTATTTTTTGGGGTCTGAAACAGACTAATCTAATTTACATTATTCCTTATGGAAACAAATTTCTTCAGTAACGGCACTTGAACAGCCTTCTGGAATGAATTATGGCCGAAACTCAGGGTACCACTGTATTAGTAACAAAGGTATGAATCAGGAAGTGAGGGAGCAAGAAGCAATCTTAAACAGTATACCAAATTTCTATCTCTTACAAAAATCTGTGCTTCATGTCCCACCAAGAAGATAGTTTAATAACAAAGTAAACACCATAGTGAGAGGGCAATATTTTTTTTATAAATGCTGGTAATATCTTTAATAGTACACATATTCCAGTGATATCAGTGGTGAAATTTATAACTGGTATTATAGTTTGAGGAAAGCAGTAAATAAAATGTAAAATTAAATTATTGTTAAAACAGGAGAAACATGTTTGGACTCTATATTAAGATCGGAGAAGCCACATATGGCAAAACATGTCCTTAGCAAATGTACTATTTCTCTACATCTCTCTTTCTCTATCTCTCTCTCACACCCTACGAAAAGTGGAATGATTTTCTTTTCCAACAAATCCAGCACAGACATACAAGTCACAGCACTATATCATCCTGTACAGATACCAGAATTTTTATGACAATGTCATCCATTAAAGTCACAGCAAATCTTTAAGCTCATATAAATCAGGTATAAAATGGAATAAAATACCAACAATTGTAAAATAAGACGTGGAATATCAGGATATTTTAAAGCAGATACACTTTACCACGAATGGCTTGTTCAGCCTAAGACTGAAGAAGCCATTTGTGGCAAAACATTTCCTCATAAAAAATATCTTAATAATTCACACATCTTATTTCACATATAGATCAGGTCTTCCAGGGGGCCCCATGGATAACAATAAGATGTTCAACAAGGACAATGTCAGTTACTCCACTATGGAAAAATTTAAGAACTAAAATATGGAATGAAATATAAAACAATCTCAAATCACTCAATGGACTGGAAAAGAAATGAGGGACTTAAGAGTAAATATATCAGGTTTTATGTTCAAGGATCACAGCAATGGTGCT